TTTTTTTTGGGTACAAAAAGTATTAATTTATTTGATTGATGGTAATCCAATTTCTAGTGATCTTTGAGATAAATAGCTTAACTTAATCTTAATTAGAACATAATGAACATTAATGAAAATAAAATCGTAGGTATAAAAAAAGTAACGAACCGCCTGCACAAATTTTGACCAATTAAGTTAGGAAAATTATGAACATTCAATAACATTTTACTTTCGTATATATGCAATGAATGCTACTACAAGTGTATCATCTTACACATACATTATATAACACACATATATATATATACACGCACAATGACTAGGCAATTTAAAGATCTTATTAAGCCACATTATAAAGTATTATTATAGAGTTGTCATTGTAGATCAAATAAGCCAAATCACCCGAGCTTAACTCTATAATCGAGTTCGGACTCGAGCCCTTATTGCGTCGAATTAATAGACAAGCTCCAATTCGATTTGTTAACGGGATTTAGATAATCAAATTATTATAATAACTTATGTAATTACATAATAAAAACTACTATTTTTCTTTTAGAGTTTGATACGAACCCAATTCAAGATTTAACGAGTCGAGCATAGCTCACAAGCGGTTCGTTTTGTTTATCACTTTTATTTATTGCTATTACTTTTTAGTAGTGCTTTATTTTGAGGTGACATCAAATCATGATCGTTTGTAAGAAAAATTAATTGACAAAAACATTTAAACATACAAAAATATCGCTTTTTAGATGGATCAGATATCGCTTTTAGATGAGTCATAATATGCATTGATTTAGGAGACCCCACTGTCATTCAAGAACTATGCCAACAAACTTTGTATATAGGAAAACAGCCAATCAACAGAATTAATTACTATTATTATTATTGATTTTCTTTTAACAATGCTTTTTTATAAGAAAATATATAAAAAAATCTCGATATATCTATTGAAATATAAGTATTGACCATTTATAAGGACAAACTATACTACAAAACTATAGTTATAATTTCAATAAACTAAAAAATGTTATATTTTAAAAAATAATTAAATGTAGGTAATAGATTTTAGAATCAGATTTTTAGTCCATTTAACCAATAATTAGAGTCTCGATTGTGTTCTTTGTTAAGAGGTACGTAAAATAAAGAATTGCATGAATTACATAAATACACCGTAAAATAATTACATTTCAATATATTTTCAGACTTATAAATATATTGGAAAATGATACGGTCCCGTTATCGAACTATTCTGTTGAGATTTGTAAGCGTTAGATCATCATGTAACCGTCGGGAATAGTTGATGGTTACAAACTCTGACATAATAGTTATGTAACGGGACCGTGACATCTCCCATACATATATATTATCACAAGTGAAGAAATAAAAATATAATAACACGAAACTAAGAAATAATTAATTTCCTTTCAAACCATCACAATGTACATTTCGGACTTGTGATTTTAATCAATTACAATGAGAAACTATATAACTAAGAATCACTTTATGAAAGAAAAAAAAAATGATATAGTTAAAAAGAGAGGTTTTCATCATCATCATTTCTCCCAAACCAAACGCAGTATAAAAAAAAAAAAAAAAAGGGAAAAAAAGAGTATATAAATTAACCAGAAAAATCAATAATTCCTTCGAATTTTGGGAAAACTAAATTACCTTAAATTTTATTCAATCACGAGATGCCAAACACGCCTCCCAGAACAACCTATCCCCTTCCCTCTCGCTCATCATCTTCATCTCCGCCGCCTGCGGCGGCGATCCTTCCCCTCCGCCGCGGCATTGATCCACGACGCCGTCCTCCAAATCGCTCCCACCGCCGTCCTCCTCATCAACCCGATCGCGCCGGTTCCCCTCATCCTCCCCTCCGGCGACCTCCTCCCTAGCGCCGCCGGGCGCGGATCCGCGGCTGCACGACTCCGCGTCGTCATCCGCCGCGACTGGATCTCCGTCGAATTGGTCCGCCTCGGAATCGCCGATCGACTCGAACAGCACGTAGGCCGACGCGTCGAACAGCGCCGCCACCTCCGCCATCGCCGACGCCAAATCGTAACAATCCAAGCCGATCGATCGAAATCTGAAATTACAATTGCGCGCGTGTGTATTTTGTTTAATTGTAGAGAGAGGATATTGAAGAAAAATTAGGTGAAAACAAAAATGAAAGGAAATGGGCTTATATAAGTAGGCCTTCTTGTGTCGACACACTGTGTATTTGCGTCTTACTGTTAGGCAGCCATCAAACTTTCATTTTACTAATTAAATATCATATATTCTCATTTGATTTTTATTAAAATTTAAAAGTATACATATGCATGAAGTCTTACAGTTTCTTTTTATTCGATAAAGTCATCTGCTAGGTCGGCCTATTCAGAGGATAAAATGTTTTTTATTATAAATTTTTAAATCTGAAAATCATATTTCTATTTTATTTTTTTTTTAGATAAATGACATGTGTTCATGAAATTAACAAAATACTATATTTGTCCGACCCTGCGTACTATTTATTTTATAATTAGGTCTTGTTATTGGATCATTTCGTAATTATCCCTAACAATTATATGATGATATAACGGTTACAAACCCCGACAGAATAGCATTTCCTTATTACAAATATTAATTTAAGTATTAAATACTACTACAAATTTGTGTTATTTATTTTTTGAATATGTTTAGGCATTTGGTAGTATCTGTATAGCTTGCCACGTCGTGCTTCTAGAAGGTCCATACACTTTTACCATCTTCTTCTAGAAGGCGTTAATTGGGAATTGTTTGACCTAATTAATTTCTAATTTCATATTATAGGGATTCAAAAGTGACAAGTCTCTATCAGTGGTGCTTTCAAGTAAAATTCCAAAAAAACCCTTCTTTATCTGCCCTCACCCAATATTTTACAATCCCAATTTTGCTTTATTTCAACGTTATTAGGTAAAAGCATACATAAAAAGGTCGGTGGCACGGTTTTGAATTCCAACACCCGTTATTCACCCACGTTCCAACGGGCCTGGTTTACACCTTTGGCCCACCAGCCAAAACACGGGTTTTGACGGACTATCGGACTGGATCGCTTGTTGGCTCGGGCTATCGGACTGGATCGCTTGTTGGCTCATTTTGACATGCGTAGTCGATAAATAGCTCGAACTCAAGCCTTTAATGAGCATAACATAGTGCAGAGATACGACCAAAGCAAGCAAATCAACAAACTCGAGTTCAATTAATTTATTAATATTAACGAGTCGAGTTATAAAAAATTACATAAATAGAAAATCTTCTTACTTTGAACCTTAACAAGCTTGTCTTGTATCGAATCACGCACACAAGGGGATTGTTACACGGGTTGAGCAAAATCTAGCCGAAACTGAATAACCAAGCTAAACCGTGCAAGTCGGTGTTCATCGATGTATGGTTTCCATTCGATTTTAATAATATAGAAAATTGGGTCGAACCGTGTATTTTTGTGTGTTCGATTTGGATATTTTAGTTCGAAAAAAAAAAGGTTCGAATGTGGTTTAATTATTATTGTTATTTTTTTGCTAGATGATAGTTTATATGTAAATTTCGAGTTTATAGTTAATAGTTTATGACTCTTTCTCTCTCTCTTTCTCTCTCTTTCTCTCTCTATCTCTCTCGCTCTCTCTCTTAGTTAAAAAGCTAGCTGATATGATAAAAGTGTTTGGTGAAATTAGCTGATAAATAAGATTTTCAACGGGCTTATTTTAAAAGATACCAAAAGAAGCTTATATATAGGTTTGAGCTTTCTTAAAAATACTTGTCCTACGAAACCAATCTTATTTGTGTAAAAAAAGCTTACTAAATAAACTATAAGCTATGTCATTGTGTTTACAAAACAACTCTAGTTTTGCTATGGAGCCATCCACAGGTGTTTAAAAATTGTGTTTTAACATATGTCCTATCATAAATACACATTGAACATGTGTCAGTATATCAAATTATGGATGACTCCTCAAGAGAGCCATCATGGAAAGTATATAAAACCGAGTTATTTTTTTTTTTTT